GATAACATATCAAAACAAACACATAGGAACGATAGCACAAGGTCTGATCAGTCAAAACGCTACAAAAATACAAGAAACTGAAGCATTAAAAAGAAAATGCAGCATAGTAATTTTTTTTGGAAATCGAAAAACGACTGACTCCTGTATTTCAGTCGAAAGTGATAACTATGAACAATATTTATGAAGCTTGGTCGATTAGTTGTGATAAACAGTGGAGTGATACAATACTTTTCCGATGGGTTTTTAGGACATCTTGTGTACGATTTCTGTTTTCATGATGATTAATCTAACTACATTGCTGAATGATCGAGAGTGCGGATATAGGTCTTCCCCGAATCCACATCCACACCCACATCAACATTCATACACGCACTCAAAACTATACTCACACCCAAATCTTACACATCCGTACCCGTACTCACACCTACAACCACATCTCATATCCTCGGCAAGAGGTTCCCAGATCAAGCTAATGTTTTAGATGTAACACTATATTTATAAGACCTCCGTTTTCAGATAATTAAATGCAAAATAAAAAAAATTTTCCAGCTATGTTGTCTAGTAGTCTGGTAGGCCCTCTCATAAAGTGTTAATGTAGAATAACTGAGCAAATAGCTTTATCAATGTCATGAATGGTAAATTACGATGCATTTTTCTTCACCATGTTTAGAGAGGCAATAGTGACGATCACCCAGCGATTGGGACCCTTTAAATACTGCCAGAGTTTTAATTTTCCTCATAATTTATTCAAAAATAAGAGAACAAAAATAAACAAGGAGTTCTATAAAATATCTACTTCATTCACGTTGCTACCACCCAAATATTACATAACTTGAGGGTGTGTGTGTGTGTGTGTGGGGTGGGTGTGGGTGTGGGGACGTGGATGAAGCTCTTCTCTCTAACTACACCCACACCCCACAACCACACCCACACCCACAACCACACCCACACCCACACCCACACCCCACAACCACACCCACACCCCACACCCTATTTCGAAAAATAAAATTGTCGGAAATTTGGTCAACAAACTCATCTAGATTACGTCTTTTCAGTCAAGAAAGTTTCCAATCGTAATTATAAATAGTTAATTTTATAGAAAAAATGTGAAATATTACAGCAAAAGTAATTATCTTAACTAAATCATAAAATTGTCGTTCATATGCTCTTTAGTTTTTCTTCCTGTCTATAAATCCTTTACTTTTGGACAAAATCTGAGTTGAAAAAATTGTTTTTTTTTTCATTTAAAAGAGTTCGTTTATATAAATTACGATTGTCATTATGAATAAATAGGCTCTTCATGTGAATGGGTGTGGGTATGCGTCTTCTCTTCCGTATCTACACCCACACCATAACAAAAATTTCGACAATTATCGATGTTATGAAAAACCGATCTATTGGAGAAACAATGTTTTATCAGTATAATCGGCGCTTAAATCTGTATCTAACGGTACCTGTGAACACGACTACAGAGAAAAGATCATTTTCCGTGATGAACCGCATGAAGACATGTCACTGGTCGACAATGACAGAAACTCGTTTGAACAGTGCATTTTTGACCCATATTTACAAGAAGAAGATGGATTCAATTGAATTGAATACTATTTGTTCTACGTTTGCATCCAGAAACGAACAAAGAAAACGGTTCTTGGGTACTTTTTAATCACATCCATTTTAGCAACCTAATAACTTATTACAATTGAATATTCTTCATTTTTTTCTTTCCATCATATTCTTTTGAAAAATTAGCATTCATTTCATCGTTAGACTTGAATTTCATCCACCGTTCGAATACAAACGTTTCTGTTTTTATTCATTTGCTTATTCTTAGTCAGCTTGGACTAAAGGAAAATAGATCTTTGTTTTCATTGACGGCATAAGGGCAATTAGATGAAAGAAACATGTGCATATAAATATCTCTCATGTTGAAGTTACAAAATCACATATAGAAGTGAAAACAAATATGAAACATTCAATGATTCAATTGGACGATTTACCAGATGAAATTCTTATAATGATTTTTAAAAATATGTGCCAAGCTGATACAGTCTATTCTTTAATAGGTGTTAATCAACGATTTAATACAATTGTATATGATTCAATTTTTACTAATCATTTGACATTATTCGAACATTCATCGGATGGTTCCATATGTTCATTCACTGATTCAATGCTTGAAATATTTTGTTCAAAAATTCTACCTAAAATTAATCATAAAATTAAATATCTTCACCTTGAATCATCATCTATGGAGCGTATTCTTCTTGCTACAAATTATCCTAGTTTATATGGACTTTGCTTATATAATATTAACCTAGAAACAGCTAAACATTACTTTTTTAGTAAGATATATTATTTCAATTGTTTTAATTTAGAACAAATAAGAGATATATAGAAAAAAAAACATCGCATTGAAGTTCTTTTGAGACTAAAATGTAGAATTCAAATATTTTTTTTAGTTTTATTGTCTTAATACAAAATATCTCAATCACAAAAATAAAATCTGTGATAGACGATTGATCAGTATTTTTTTTTGTCATTGCTAAGAAACTATATAACAGACATTTCATATCGATGTCGAATAAGAATGAATTTGTATGCGCTATTGAATTAATTTTAAAAAATTAGTTTATTTCTTAAGACTTTTGTATTTATGTTTAGAAGAAAATTTATTAATTGATCTATTTAAAAATCAAATTTTATCACTTACTTTCAATATGAATGTAGATAAAGAGCAAGATCATATAGACCTTATCAATGCAATTATATTTCAACATATTATTAAAATTTTCACCAATCTGCAATATTTGAATTTCTGTCAATCTTCAATTTGGTATTCAAGGCTATCGTTTAGTACTATGATTGAAAATTTAGCCTTATCAACTCTCTTAGAATTGCATGTCAGTGTAACAAATTTCAGCGATTGTCTTTATTTACTTGATGGACGTTTCAATCAACTTCATACATTTTATGTTAATATTGCTTACACTCGCTTTTCACGGTTAACAATCAATAACACAGTAAATTAATTTGATTAATATCTAATTTAACTAAATAAGATTTGGTCTTTTTTTCTAGGAAAATTTACCTAATTTAAAAGTTTTTTCTCTAAGTTGTAAAACGGTGACATTTGATTTTGATGAATTAATTGTTCCACTTCTACATCGAATGATAAATTTAGAGGAACTTGGTTTATTTGTTAAAGTTCGTAAAAAGAACACATTTGTTGATGGTAATGATTTGAAAAAAAATATTATCAATAAAATGTCACGATTAAATAACTTTCAATTTGATATTCGTTCAACTATTCATATTTTTAATCAAATCAATTTACCATTTAATAAAGATATTCAATATATATTCAAAGATTTTCATAATAATCTTATTATTTCTTATGTTGATTATTTTTCAGAGACTCAACAAGCTCACTGTCGCACTTATTCATATCCTTATCTATGGAACAGTTATTGCGAAATAACTAATAATTTTCCAAGTGGATTATTATTTAAATATGTTTTAAAAATATCATTACATGATGAACGACCATTTGAACATGAATTTTTTCTTCGAATTGCTCAATCATTTCCATTGGTAAAATATTTAACTTTAGCTAATAACAAACCTCAAAATGATAAACAAAATGATGACAATAAAAATTTACCAATTATTAAATATCCTCATCTTACTGCACTTTATCTTATTGTAGCTCATATAGATTATATCGAACAATTTCTACTTCATACAAAAACACATTTATCCAATAATGTTGATCTTTTTGTTGTTTATCATGCAATAGAAAAAGTAACAGAAAATTTTACAAGAAACACAACACGAATCAATTGTGAAAAATTGAACTTTTTAGGTATTCATGGTATATATAAAATTCCTCAATATGTAAAAGAATATTTTCCTAATACAGAAATATTAAATTGTGAATTTGAATAAATCATTATTTAAATAAAATATGTTCAAAACTAAATTAATTTGCATAAAATTAGGATGTGTACGTCCTGAAATGTAGTCATTGGACTGAGTGCATAGGCAGAATGTTTAGACTAGTGTTGATCTTAGTGGTTGTATATGCTAGCAAATAGTAAGTATATCCATACCCTTGACTGATTTTATATGACTTAATATTTGCTGTTTCGATATCACTGAGAAACAGAATTTCATAAGTAGTAAAAGATTTGTTTAAGAGGTTTGAAATGTAACTGATACATGCTATAGTCATTCTAAATAGCCTACATGAGAACAAACACCACCTGCTAAACTTTTGTTCACTCAACAAAATCGAATTTCGATTATGTCAATCATGTAGAGAATCAATTTTCATACTATGCTCTGTAGAGGATGAACATGTATCCTGAATGTGATAGTGATTCTTTACCTAAAAATATTCGAGATTACAAAGAAAAAACTGGAAATAGGATTTAAGTGGATGGGATATGTGTAATTGTTCCAGATTACATAATATCAATAAATGATGGCTATTAGCCAGATTGGACACTTAATAGAGCTGATTTGCACTCTGAAATCAACTATTTAGTACTTGTTCCCACTTGTATAGGATGATTTAATGGAAATATTCGTTGTTCGATCAGTTGTTGAATAATGCGGACGATATGATGAGCTGCATCCGCCTGTCTGTCGTTGGCGTTGGCAACAAAAGCATCACAATGAATCTATAGCTACCATTCCAAGGATTGCTAAAAAAGTCTTCTTTTACTTTTTGATAGGTTGTTGTCCAGTTTAAAACTCCAAGTGAATAAATGTCATTTTCTCTGAGTAAACTTGAATGTAAAGAAGGCCTAGGAACGTAAAATGAAATATATTTGAATGCATGAATACCAAAAACTGATAGAATATCATCACAATATAATAATAAACATGTTTAGTTTATTCTATTATAACAAATGATAATAACCTTTTACTCACACATATAGTTAAGAATATTCATGTACTATCAGATATTCTAGTCTTGTAATCTCATCTCATGCTATTTAAGGAGAAACTTAAGAAACTCAAAAAATGACGGTCTTGTCATTAAATCATCTCCGTGAAAAGAAGATTTTCTCTCCTAGTATATGTCGAATGTTCGTCTATTCTTCAGTTAACGAGATAGGTTCAATATTTTGTCAACTTAATAATCATTATCCAATTTTTTAATTATATGTGGACTTTCATTAGAATATTCTAGAAGTTCCAGATTTATGACATTTTCCAAATTTTCATCATTTTTAACCAAGTTTCATTAGAAAACAATAGATTTTCATGATCTACATTTATTCGAATTCCAAGATCGAATACATTCGCTTGAAGGATATGGTGTGGGTATTTGAGAACACAAGACTCACACCTATGTCCGCACCTTTGTGTTACCTATTCAGAATACTTTTTTTAAAACTATCTACAACCTTTGATGGTTTAGTGATAATGAAATAAAACCTAAAAAAACATCAACATCTTCGCTGAACTTCTGAATGATTCCTCATTATACCTTTTGTTTAAAAGAGTAGAGCAGATAGATTTTGATGCGAAAGATAGAACTATATAGTCATAGATATGGAATCCTCGAATGTTCTCCTTCACAGATAACATGAGAGTATAAGACTTAAAAAAACTTATATTGACGTTTCTTCCAGATAGAATGCATGTCTTATTCGTTAAGACTTGAGTTCTTTCTATAGTAATTAAAGTCAAATCAGTATGGATACTTTCTTTTTGTAAAATAGTGCATATTGTTTGCCAGTTCTATTAGTGTTGTGTTAGCTAGAAAAGCTCGTAGAAACAATATTGTTCAAATGAAAAAAGAAAGAGAACACATTTCAATGAGTGAAAATCTATCGAAATACCGAGTATTCAAATTGCTGAAGTTCCAATCAAATAACATCTAAACCTACCACCGAAAAGAGAACTACTTTCTTACTTTAGAATTCGGTGTGGATGTGGATATGAGTCTAGTATTCCCTCTTACCAACACCCACACTCACCCACCCACACCCACACCCCACATCCACACCCACCCACGCCCACACCCCACCCACACCCACACCCCACCCCACACCCACACCCACACCCACACCCACATCCACACCCACACCCCACACCCACACCCACCCACACCCCCATATGGATCTTCTTTCCATTCTCATCCAAACCCACACCACACCCACACCCGAGCGAGGGGAGGTGCCAGAGATGTAATATCCTTCCAATTGTGGAAAACTTTTGTTTTTTCTCAGCAAAACTGAAACTTTTTTTTTGCGTTCTGTTAGAAGAAAGATAATCTCTCTTTGCAAAAAATCGCGACATCTCCACCTCAATATTGGCTGCTTTGGGCCATCATTGTCATACTCTTAAAAATCTAAAGCAACCATGTATATATTCGATGCATTTTTCAATAATAAAAATAGAATTATTCGTTCGATCTATTTTTATATTCAATTAAAGTAATGAGTGCAATGGAATCTTTGCATCAATTTTCTTTTTCCTGTATCTCAGTGTAGTCATACTGTAGAAGGTGCATTTGTTTTTCGAAAGAATAGTCTATGAGGTCCTCTACAAAATTTGTTTGAAATGTATGTCAATTTTAGCATAGTGATCCACTTTAATATGTAAAACATTTTCAAATAACGGGAACAGTCCTTCGTACCTTTCTAAAAACCCGTACTATGCTATTTCTTTTCAATAACAACAAAAAACTTTAAATTCGTATCTATATATGTGCAGATAGCCTATTCAAAACTCTATAGATCGTACTTTAAAACATAAAGTTAAGTTCATTAATTTAAGTTGAATAAAATATTTTAAGATATTAAATTTTGTTAAAATCTTCGATTTTAAAGTCACAATTTTAATCATCTCGAACAATTATCATAGTTTCATCGCTATACGCTTCAACAAGAATTTGGTCATACTGTTTTATATAGAATTATTCGAACTTTTTAATGCACAACAAATAATTTGAAAATTCTCTACTATCTCTGACAACTCTGAGTTTAAATCAATCAGATTACTTTTTGAAAAACATCGAACAAAAAAAGAATACATGTATGTTCTTGATAGTGATTGTGAAGAGCTATCAAAGCATGTAATGAGATATCTTACCATGAACTTTAATATCCTATGAGATCAGATGAAACTTCATGTATGCTATTAGATAGATAAAATTTGGAGAAGAAATTATCAGCTACTTTTGAAAAAGATATGGCTCTCTAAAATCTGCTTAAAACTATATGCTGAAATACTTCGTAGATATTGATAAATATTGTGATTTTCTACAACTACTGATCGTTTAAAAAAAATCATCAAATAAAAACGTCAGAGTTTTCTTTTATTATGATAGTATTACATTTCAATTATATGTCGACTTGAGTTCTCATCTATCACAATACTTCTTTAACTGATATGAAGCCAATGATGATTAAAGTTTTTTTTTTCTTTTTGACAAGTAAGACACCATAGTAAAGAATGAAGTTTAAAATTAATTGAAACCTTTTATTCATAGTATTGAATTTTTTTAAAATTCGTATTGAAAAAATATTTCGATCATTCTTAATGTACAATGAACTCATAGATATGAGTTCAATTTTTTATGAAATTTCCACTACTTATGCGATGAATGCACATTTTTATTTGTACTTTAAACGTCTTCAATCATTATGACATAGAGAATTTGTTTTTTCGTACATTAGAATATAATTCTTTCTTTTCCTTTTATTTTGCTTTTGTTAAATAATTATTTGCCATTAATTTATGATATATACGCACAGATAGAATTACCAATACCAATATAATCAATTATTAGTATCATTGTGTCGATACATAATGTGTTTTTATTCGTGAACTATGAATTGAAATTGTTACTCTTGTACAAAAAAACATCATCATCTCGATGTCAATGATAATAGCAACGATCAATTTATCAAGATTCTCATTAACTAAAAATGTATATTATCAGTGACTATTGAAATAACATCTGAAATCTTTCTAATATTTTGAGAATATCAATGAAAATACTTTTAATTATTTGATTAAAAACAATAGTGCAATTTATATAATACATCATAAATATACTGATTAAATCTAAAAAGCATTGTAAATAAGAACATATTAGAAGTTTTCAACTGTTATACTACTCAATAATAATACTGATGCATCCAATCGTCACTGGAAAATAAGTTTGTCTTATATATTCATATTACTTAGAAAGGTCGATAAAGATATGTTGTTTCAAGTTCAAAGATAGTATGAATATTTGTACCTAATGCTAATGCAATTTGAGCAAGTTGAGTTGTCGAATAATACATAGCTGATATACCAATAATGATTAAATCTGCTTTATCATTTTTAACATAAGGTATAAATTTAGACGGTAATTCACCTTGAGTTAATTGATCGAGATAATGTTTTAATATTCTATTTATTGAATTTTGATGTTGATTTTGAAGACGATCAATCGTATGATGAAGTTCAATGAGATGTTGTTCATGTTTTGAAAGATCACTCTCATTTAATTTTGTACGAGAATAAGCACAATCACGAAATATTCGATAAGAACGTGTTTGTGTAAGAGCAAAATATGATGACCATAAACTAAGACAATCACTTAATTGTCGACTTAAATTAACAAGTTCAATATGAAGATCAGGAAGAAAAAGACTACCAGATGTATGCATATGAAGATTTTGAATGTGATCTTTATCATTATCTATACATTCATTGATACGCATTAACTAAATCATAGATGAAATAGATAATTCAAAGAATTTTCTTCGACTTACTATTGCATCAATATTATATAACATTCGAAACATATTAACTTGTTGTTCAACAAGTGTATCATAACGAATTGAAGAAAAATTATTATGAAACCACCACATGGTTGGTTCAAGAGCAGCATGTCCAACAAGAATTCGTTGACTACTAATTAATTGCTGAAAACGACTTCGTTGAGCATCAATAACTGATTTGATTTCTTGTTCATTTTTTTTTCTCGACATCAATTATTTCTATGTCCAAATTTTCATGAGGAGCCAATTGATCATAGATCGAATGCATCGATGTAATACTTTCACGACAAACTTGAAGAGTGCCTTAATAATTCAAGAACAAAAAAAGGAATTAATCTTTCAATTAATATTAATTTATATTTACTTTGAATATTATTTTTTAGTACATCAATGGCAAAAACTGGAAAAATGGCGATGGTAAGTACAATGGCAATAGCAATACCAACAAGATTCTCTTCAATACGAAGAAGAGCATAATTACCTCCTGGTACTGCATCTCCATATGGTATTCGACCAAGATTAACCAAAACTGGAGTAAAAGCAGCTACCGTAGCTGCATAACTCCAGTTAGGTAACAGTTTTAAATAACCAAAAATAAGAATCCATGGAGTTAACATTCCCAATGTTCGATAAACATGATCATTAACTGATAAATAGGTTACATATGCCCACATAGCACCTATATAATAACAAAACATATTCAAATATATAATCATAAATAAGATTCATTTAAAAGTAATCATATTAATAAGAACAACTTACCAAATAGAGTTCCAACTAGCCTCATTTTCATTGTTGTGAATGCTCCACCTACTGTATCACCTTGTGTCATACAAAGAGCAATTAAAATCCATTGTCCATTCTCAAATGCTGTTGCCAAACGAGGTACCATCACAAAGATTGAACCTACTCCAATAATTACCATACTTTTAAAAGCTGATACAAAGCGTGGCCATTGTGGTTTTAATACTTGCATTACAGTTCTTCTCTTCTTTTTATGCCTTTTTTTAAATGCATCTTTGATCTCTTGAAAAAAACTTTTATTCTGATCGATCGTTGTTACTTGTATCAAAAGTCTTACTATAGCATCAAGTTGAAAAAGAAAAAAAGTATGTGACAGATGATCTTCGGATCGAATTGTTTTTGCAGATTCTAATACATGTTCAACATGATGAAGACGTGCTTCGATAAAAGCTGTACGAAGTGAATCAAGTGCTTGTTGTAGTGCAGTTAGACGACCATTAAATTCATCTCTATTAATTATTGGAGATGACATTAAACTTGAAACAACTGTTGATTGACATAAACTAAGATGAAGAAGACTTTCTTGAAGTTCTTCTGTAAAATGCCTATGATATTCATTGAATTGACATTGTTTAACCATTATTTGAAGTGAACATACATGAAACATTAATGCCCTAATAAAATATTCTTGTTCTATAAAACAAACATTTTATATTTTATATGTAGAATAAAAAAAAATCAAATAACCTTGTAATGTTAGATCAATAAGATGTCTTCGTCTTCGATTAAAAATCCGTTGTAAACATCGTGACGGTTCCATATGAGCTTCATTCAGTCTTGAATGCATTGAATTCATCGTTGTGCGTACCATTTGTTCGATAGTTGATGCTCGAGTAAGTGATACTTGTGCATTCATTTGATCTTTACATAAAAATGCTTGTATTACAATAGTTTCCATTCGTTGTAAATTTGTTAGACAATAATTAACACGATTTTCAACATCAAAAGTTGCAAAAAATGGAAAGATAACAATAGATACAATTAAACCAACAAATACTGCAATGACAAATTCTTCAAGTAAAGTAAAAATAAATGTTGATGGAATCTTAGCTTCATTTACAATAGTTGAAAAAAATATAGCATTTATTAATAAAGCAACTTTTCTAGTTTGAACCTGATAAAAAATTATATATTTCTTTTTATCGGAAATTTCAATATAATTTGATTTACTTGTAAGAAAATACTTACTTGTGAACATTTATAGGCAACTAAAAGTGATGAAATAAGTAGTGTAAGTTCAGCTGCGAGATAATCTTTATATCCAAGACCAATCTTTTGAACTATGAAGAGAAAAATTGAAAGAGGTGTAATAGCTGTTAACATTTGATAACCAGCAGATAATGTCATTCCAAATGTTTCTTGTATGGTTATAATACATATAACAGGAATTAAATATTGTGTTGTTAATTGATTATTTAATGGAGTTGCGTAGGCAAGAAATCCACCAATAAGGAATGAAATAGTCATTCGTATAGCAAATTGAATACGTCGAGAAAATGCTGATGGAGTTAATTTTGAAGATGAATTATTATAATGATAATTAAAATAAAAGTGGCATAGTGTTTGAAAGAATGTTGAAATAGACATTTTAAATCGATGTGTATTTTTTCTATAATAACCTTTAGCCTGTTTATTATATACAATCACTGAATTTATATTAAAGAGCAGAAGAAAGAACGAACTAAAAAAACGTTATTTGCACGTTTTAGTATGAAACAATGTCTATTATATATAACTCGATATTGCGCTTCAATAATAATCATGATGCAGCTATTTATATTATAGAACAAGGAAAAATTTGTTTAGGGACTAACTTTTCAAATAAAATTAACAAGTAACGTTCGTCGG